CCTGATGCCTACTTTACACATCAGAATAATAAAATTTTTCCTTGAAATAAAGTAGGTTCTAATTGTAATCTGCATACTCATTATCACACACAAAATAAAGAACTCGTGTTGTCCCCTGGTTTCTATCATCAGAATAGTACATCCAGATTTTAAAGATTTTAATACTAGGGAGTCTGTGAAAAGTTTGTAGAAAATGTAATTAAAAGATAATAGAATTTTTCCATGAGGTTTTTTAATTCCCCTCATAGACATACTAAAAAGTTTTTTACTAGAATTGTACCTTTAATATTGACAGTGTATAATTTGTCTTAAGAATTCACCTGCTAAAAGTGGATGAAGGGAGACGTCGGACAGGGCAAGATATGACAAAATAACCATTTATAAACTATCAAGGGCTCTTGCGGGAGGGGGGAGTGGGGAGGGAGGGGGAAAATGAGGACCTAATGTCGGGGGTTTAAATGGAGAGAAAATGTTTTGAGAAACGATGTACAAATGCGCTTTACACAATTGATGTGTGTATGGATTGGGATAACAGTTGTATGAGCCCCAAATAAAATGATTTTTTTTAAAAGAAAAAATAAAAAATAAAAAAAAGAATTCACCTGCTACCTAAATTTGCATATTCCCACACTTCACTTAGCAACAAGGCTATGTTCCAAGCATGAGGTCATTATACAAAAATCATCATAATCCAAAAATGAAGGATAACCACATCAGATCAAAAAATGAAGGATGGTTATATAATTATATAACTGCCAAACCACTGAGATTCATGACCCAGCCAAGTTGATACACAACAATCAACATTACTCTTACCTCACACCACAGTGTTTATTACTAGAAGACATATACCATTAAAGTAAAATACAAATGGATAGATATTTTTACTATTGTCATCTACGTTAAATGTCAGATGACAAGATAGTGAATAATTGAGGAGTAGGTGTGTATCTACAGTGCATAGCAATACATCTATACTTTGCCCATAATACTTAGGAGTTTCTCACAATGTCAACATTACTCATGTCTTCTTTCACCAGGTAGACTATAAGCACTTCGAAAGCAAGATTCATCGTTGCTACCCTACACCCTGACTGGCTCATTTCCTCCCCACAACCCTTCAGTAAGGGGGTGTCCAGTTGGCTACCGATGGGCTTTGAGTCTCCACTCTGCACTCACCCACATTTACAATGATATGATTTTTTGTTCTTTGATGTTTGATACCTGATCCTTCGAAAGCTCGAGGTCGCACAGGCTGGTGTGTTTCTTCCATGTGGGCTTTGATGCTTCTCAGCTAGATGGCCACTTGTTTATCTTCAAGCCTTTAAGACCCCAGACGCTATATCTGTTGATAGCTGGACACCATTAGCTTCCTCTAGTTCTTAAATGCTTCCTCCCCCCCACTATCATGATCCCAATTCTACCTTACAAATCGGACTACACCAGAGGATGTACATTGGTACAGATAGCAACTGGAAACACAGGGAACCCAGGACAGATGACTCCTTCAGGACCAGTGGTGAGAGTGGCGATACCTGGAGGGTGGAGGGAATGTGGGGTAGAAAGGGGGAATTGATTACAAGAATCTACGCATAGCCTCCTTCCTGGGGGATGGACAGCAGAGCAGAGTGCAGGGGCAGACGTCGGACAGTGTAACACATGACAAAACAATAATAATTTATGAATTATGAAGGGTTCATGAAAGAGGGTGGAGTAGAGAGGGAGGGGGGAAATGAGCAGCCAATATTAAGGGCTCAAGTAGAAGGCAAATGTTTTGAGAATGATGATGGCAAGAAATGTACATATGTGGTTGACACAATGGATGTATGTATGGATTGTGATAAGAATTGTACAAGCCCCCAATAAAATGATTAGAAAAATTGTGTCCCAAAAAATATGTGTTGTAAATCCTAACCTTTAGGCCTATGGTTAGACTCTATTTGGGAATGAATTGTCTTTGTTATGCTAATAAGGCCAGGTTATCTTTTTAATCATTTAAAAATCATTTATAAAGAGTTATATCCAGAGCTGTGCGCTCAGACCCCAGATAATCTCAGAAAACAAACAACGAAGCAGATCTCACTACTACCCTCATAAACCTACTGTGTGCACTAATGTGTTTTGAGCTCTGACAACACATCAGACCGTTGGACCTTTCCTCTAAAGCATGATCACAATTTAGTTTTCCCAAAATCCTGCGTTATTTTTCCCAGTTTCACAAATCAGGACACTGAGATGATGGGGAATGTTCCTCGTTTCTAAACATCCTCATTTCCTAACAAGGAAAGGGAGTTCGCCAGCACAACAAACAAAAAACTAGGTGATAAGACCTGGAATCCTTCCCCATTTCTCCCATTACTGTGAGTGGGCTAGATATGCTTCAGAATCACTCACTCTGGAAAAGTCAGACATGGAAAGAATGTTCAGATCCTTTGGGGAGTCCAGAAACCCAGATCAGGGAAATCACTTCTACAAACAGAAAGTTCAAATCTTCCACTACCAGCATTTTCCGATTGTAAAATGAAAGGTCCTGGCCGCAAACCCACACAAATCTTCTCTTTATTTTTAAATATTTTGATTATCATCATGAACTCGGCTGAGTACATGTGGAACAGCACCAATTTCTTCCAACACAGTCAAAACGTTTAAAATAATTGGCATGAGCACTCTAATTTTTAAGAGAGTAGGCCAACCTTGAAACTAGAAGAACCAGACAGTGCCCAGCTACCACCACCAACTACTCTAAAAACGAACATTCAATAAAATGATCTTTTAATTTTTTTTAAAAACCTAAAAATAAATAAATAAAAATAAAAACGTTTATATTAGAATGCACTAGACAGAGATGTAGGAAAAGGTGAAACAGAACTCAGAATTATAAGAGACGAGGCTTATTGGCTGAAGAGATACTGATGGGATGCCCAAGACTTGGACCCTCACTTACCCTCCAAATCTGCAACTGAACCTCACCCCCATGTTCGTCTAATCAAGCATTTAAGAACAAAAGGGTAGCATTTTCCCAAGGACAAAGTTCAAAGTCAGGGGGAAAAGGAGGTACAGAAACAGAAAACCCAGAGAGACAGTAGAGTAAGTGATGGTACATTGAGAGGGTTACAACAGATGAGTTGAACAAAATGTATGAACGATTGGATGTACAACTGATGATCTACTCTGTAAACCTCCCCCTAATTCATAATAAAAAGTATTTTTGTATTTTTAATAAAATTAAAAGCAAGTGATCTCTGGAGGATTTCAGCATTGTCTTCGTGGTTGCTACCGAGCATGATGAAAGCAGGCAAGAGTAAAGAACCTTCCCAGACACAGCTCTCTTCGTGGAGCATTTCCTGGCTGGAGGAGGACGTTCTGGCTTCCTGGTGCTGGTGCTGGCTGCCCTCTTCATCACATAAAAAATGACAAGTCTCCGTTGGGACCGCAGAGGACCCAACATATGTAGCTGGCACTACCTCACCCTCCATTCTACACTCACTGAGTTCGCTGAACTTGGCTAGCCTCAACTGGACACAATCATTGGTGGTCTGTGTGCCCATAAGAGGCCTGCTCTCTTTCATTTATACAACTGGAGATACTTGGGGTTCATATTTTGTGGTGGTGGTTTCAATCGTGGGTTTGGCAGCCCCTAAATATAAAACTCTAACTTTTCTCCCTTTCGATAAAAGAAGAAGAACCAATAGCCTTATCACAAAAGGCATGTTTTGGCAGAGCTGTGCCGCTGGGTATAGGAGCTCAGGTGGTGCAGTGGGTATGTGCTTGGCCGTACCAAAAGGTGGGCAATTTGAACTCAGCTGTTCACTGGGAGAAAGATGTGGCAATCTATTTCTCCAAAGATTACAGCCTATCGCGTGGATCCACTCTCTCCTTCAGGGGTTGCTGTGACTTGATTTCAACCACAAAAGGTCTGGCTCTTGTTGGTTCAGTTGCAAAGGAGTCAATATTGATCTTTATAAGGATGAGAAAGCAGCAATATTAAATTTTGGAATTCAAAACTTAAATTTATGTATCCCTTCGTACCCTACCTGGTATAGATAAAGTTCTCTAAGCCATGTCACAGGTTATACTCTTGTTCAAAGTCCATCTTGTTCCTCTCTTGCATTCAGAAACAAAGCCAGCTTCTTTCAATGTGACCTATGCAGTCACAACAGGACCAACTTAGAATGGCCCACACTGGTCTGTGGCTCTGCTAGCCTCATCTTGGAAATTTCTTAGCAGAAAGCTCCACATATTCACCTTTTGCTCTGGGGCCCACAGTTAGGTAAGGGACCCTGCTTAGGAATCACAAGGTTTTGGAATCTCTTGCTTAGGCTGATTTCCTTAAAGAAGATGCCACTCTGAAGACTTCTCATACTGTAGCCTTGGGTACTTTTTTCATAAATTGTTGCTATCCCTTTCCTGATCTACACAACTATCTCTATTTGGAAATCACTTATATCCCAGGGAATAAGAAAAATAAATTGAATTTCTTACAGGAAGGAATAAAGAGCTCTCAGGAACCAGCATTGATGGCACACAGGCTTAGAACTGTGCAACCTTTGGCAATTGGCTATGTTTCTCTGAGCCACAAGTTTCCTTGCCTAGAAAATGGAATCAAATTAGCTAATCTCATTCTGAGGGTTGTGTGCTGCCCAGAAAACAGGGTGCTATCTTGAGAATTAAAGAATCCAGAAATTAATAAAAATTCAGGCATTAAGTAGTCGAATTGCTTGGTTTTTACAAATAAGTATAAACTAAGACCCAGAAGAGTTGAAGATATTTGCCCAAGATCATATCCTTCATCACACAGCTGGAATGGGGACCCAGTGTCTACGCTTTTCTACAGGGGAGGAACCTGGAGTAACTTCAGAGTGTCTGCTGCAGAAGCTGGTCACAGACGGTGAGTGAGCTTCCCCAGGATGGCTAATGCTCATGATGGTCCAGCTGACAAGGACGGCTCTCCAGAAGCTGCCTGGCTCAGAATCAAGAGAGAGGGGAGTTGTAAGTCTTACCTTTCAGGCCTGGGACAAGAATCTGCATGGAGCAGGCCTCCTCGGCAGTCTGTTGAGGATAAACAGATCGGAGCAGCGACAGGAAGGCGAGGCTAATTAGAGTGCCCAGAAAAGCCAGATCTTTCTTCATAATGAATACTTGAAGGTCATTGACTCCTAAATAAAAGAAGGAATAAACAGTGACAGGAATTCGGGAAACTTGGAACAGTGCGTGACAATGTGCAGGGCCACAGACCCAGGATCACAATCCAACATCCTGTGAGAGCAAGAAGATCAAGGACCATGAGAGCATCCAGACCTCATTAGAGCACTGACTCTACACCAAGCCTCATAACACTGCTCCCCTTTCCAATGAGTACTCCCCCTTTCCAAAGGCAGTAATAACCTCTATCTAATGTGTCTTTGTTTTTCTTTGGATAACTCTTACTATGTTAGGCATTTGTTCATTCATTCACTCACTCACTGGTGTATCCATGAATCAGTCCTCACTGAGAGAAGACCATGGCCAGATCCTGTGCTAGGTAGAGTGCATTTAGAAAAACGTAATTCCAGCCCTTGTTTAATAAATATTTATTAAATTCCCATTATAATTGTGCCCTGGAGTCACATTTGGAATATGAACAAAATAAAGTTCCTTTTTCCCAAGGAACTCACCCGCTACCTCTTAGCGTTGGGCACACCCACACAGAGTGAAAGCAGAGGGGCTCTGTGCTGCACAGAGGGGAGTACACATGAAGCACGAGACACAGAACTGTGGTGGGAAAGAAGGGAGCCTGGGGAGGGAGGACAGGGGAATAAGAGAGTCTGGGGGTGGGGAGAAAGAAGAGGAGTCCGGAGGAAGGTTAACGGGTATTTAGGAGGATATGACTCGGGCATGTAAAAAAACACAAAACTACTTGAAGGTAAACAAGCGGCCACCTAGCTCAGAAGCAACAAAGCCCACATGGAAGAAGCACACCTGCCTATGTGATCACGAGGTGTTGACAGGATCGGGTATCAGGCATCAAAGAACAAAAAATCATATAATTGTGAATAAGGGGGAATGCAAAGTGGGGACCCAAGGCTCATCTGTAGGCAACTGGACATCCCTTTGCAGAGAGGTTTTGGGGAGGAGACGAGCCAGTCAGGAGGCATAGCAACAATGAAACACACAACTTTCCTCTAGTTCTTAAATGGTTCCCCACCCCACTATCATGATCCCAAATCTACCTTACAAATCTGGCTAGACCAGAAGATGAACACTGGTACAAATAGGAACTGGAAACACAAAGAATCCCGGACAGATGATCCCTTCAGCACCAGTGGTCAGGGTGGCGATACCAAGAGGGTGGAGGGAAGGTGGAGTAGAAAGGGGGAACTGATTACAAGGATCTACATATAACCTCCTCCCTGGGGGATGGACAACAGAAAAGTGGGTGAAGGCAGACGTTGGGCATTGTAAGACATGATAAAATAATAATAATTTATAAATTATCAAGAGTTCATGAGGGAGGGGGAATGGGGAGAGGGGGAAAATGAGGAGCTGATACAAAGGGCTCAAGTAGAAAGCAAATGTTTTGAGAATGATGATGGCAACAAATGTACAATTGTGCTTGACACAATGGATGTCAAAAAGGATTGTGATAAGAGTTGTACAAGCCCCCAATAAAATGATTTTTTAAAAGAATCCACTGAGCCACTTGTTAATATAATAAAGTCCTTTTTGTCATTAAAAAAATAACACAAAAATTAAAACTGTTTTCAAATCAATTTCAACTGATGGCAATGCCATATTTTAAAAATGAAGCTGCTCCGCAGATTTCGTGGCTGTAATCTATAGGGACCCTGCCTCCAGGCCTTTCTTATGCAGCCTTCCTAGGGGGGTTAGCATTGCCAACCTTGAGATTAAGGAACAGTACAAACTATCGGCATCACTCAGTGACCAAGGCACGTAATACGAGCTTCCAATAGCAAAAAAGATGGAAACAACCAAAATGCCCATCGGTGGAAGAACAGATAAATAAACTTCCATATGTAAGAACAATGGAAAACTATGCGTTGCTAAAGAATAATGGTAAAACAGCTCATGACATGGATGGATTTGGACCACATCATGCTGAGTGAAGCTAGTCAAACACAAAAGAGCAAATATTATATAAGGCCACTGTTTTAAAAATCATACTGATGATTACTAGAGGTGAAAAGGGAGGGAAGGGAAAGTTAGAGGGTAGAGGGTGGACAGGCATCAACTTTGTGAAAGGGAAGATAATATACAAAAAAAGAGAGATGGGGAAGGGGGGAACGATGTGGTGGCGGGCAGCTGTGCGGGCAAGCTAATGGGAGGGGTGATAAGTTGCTAAAGATGTAGAATATGAAAATGATTATCTGATATTAACCCCCCGACCCAAATCACCATAAAAAAGGATGAGCTTTGTATGTAGCCATTTGATTCAGAGACAAGGAATCCACGATGAGATGACTGCATGGAAATGCCTGAAGTGGGTCACTCCTGGTTCTTAGTGAGGCCTGTGTTACTCTATCACCCCACATGGAGGACCACCAAGGCAAAGGACACTAAGAGCAGAAGATGCCTCTTGCAAGACAGGCAGAGCAGCCATCCTGAAGGGAGTAAAGGACAAAAGAGGAATCCCTTCCTACCCAGGAAAGTGGAGGGAGGGAATTTCTGGGAGGCAATTCTTGTCGATCCATTGAAGCCAAATCTGAGAGAGTCCTAAAATTGAACCCAAAAATTTCATCAGTCTCAAGACTTTTCCAAGAAGGGCCTGTTGTTTGTGGCCTACTGTGTTTTCTTGTGATTTCACTGAAACATTGGAAACAAAAGGGCAGCGAGACACAAGACTTGAAGAAATAGAGCTCAACAAGGTACAGAGGAGCCAAGAAAAAGAAGAGAAAAGAGAACTGACAATTCTGAAGCACAACAATGAAAGGTCAAGGGTTAGGGCTTAACCCTGCCACTCAGCAGTAAAAAGAATATGCTCTTTGCAAGGTGTCCTGGCCCCTTAAATGCATTAACATCTACATAGAGCCATTTCACTTATCGGTTCATTCAGCAATGTTTACAGCTGCCCACCAAATTCCCAGAACCCTGGTGGTGCAAGGCTAAAGTACTCAGCTGTTAATTCAAAGGTTGGTATTTCAAACCTACCAGCCTCTCTGTGGGACACGGGTGTGACAGTCTGTTTCTGTGAAGATTTCCAGAAAAATCTATGGAGAAGTTCTACTCTTGGGTCCTATTGGGTCCCTATGAGTCAGAATCAACAAGAAGCCAGTGAATTTGTTCTGGGTTTACCATAAGCCCTTATATATAAAAGGTTTGTGTGTTTGGCTGCTTAATAAAAGTTTGGCAGTTTGAACTCACCGAGGGACTCCATAGGACAAATATCTAGCAATCTTCCTCCATAAAGTACATAGCCAAGGAAGCCAAACGGGGCGGGGCTGCATGTCATACAGCATCACTGGGAGTTAAAAATGACTCGACAGCACCTACCAGCAACAACTATATGCCTAGAGAGTCCTGTGTGGCATAAACAGTTAAGTGTGAGACTACCAATTGAAAAGTTGGCAGTTCAAACCCACCTAGAGGCACCTTGAGAAAAAGGCCTGATGATGTCATTCCAAAAGCTCACAGCCTTAAAAACCCTAGGGAACAGTTCTCCCTGAAACACATGGGTTTACCATGAGCCTAAATCAACTTGATGGCTAAATAACTTGTGTGTGTTTGTATGGGTTTTACTGTACACCAGTCTTTGGGTGATTCAAGTGGTTAATACACTTAGCTGCAAACTAAAATAGGTAAAGATTTGAGTCCACCCAGAAGCACCTCAGAATAAAGGCCTGGCAATCTACTTTCAAAAAAGCTCTACTTTGACACACATGGAATCAACTCATGGTAACTGGTACTATATATCAGGCACTACTCCAGGCACAAGAGAAACAGCAATGAACAAAACAAAATACCTGAGCTCATTAATAGCCAAGCAATCAAAAATAGATAATGGCAACTGATAGTAAAAGCTGTAATGATCTCAAGTGAAGGGTGCTGCTGTTTTTGCTTCCTCATTATTGAGATAGATGAATATGCAAGCCATAGGATGAGAATTACAAAATGCAAACTCACTATCATCAAATTAATCTAGCTCATAGCTATCTTGTCGGCTAGACTAGAACTGTCTCAGTGGTTTTCCATGGCTCTAAATTTTTACAGGAACATAAAGTCTCATCTTTCTCCCCACAGAGAAGCTAGTGATTCAATCTGCTGACCTTGTGGTTAGCAGCCCAACTTTAAACTGCTTTGACACCAGAGCTCCAGGATGAGCATTTGTTTAGGAAGAGGAAACATTAAGCTCAAAGCCCTGAAGCTGGAGGATGCTTGGAGAATTTGAAGATAACAAGTAGACTAATGTAGTAGGAACTGAGGAAGCAAAGTACTGAAGGGAAGCTGAGGGCCACTGCACACGCGACCTTCCTTACAGGTCATGGTAACAACTTTGGGGGTTCTTTTGGTTTTTTCCTAATTTTTTCCACTGATTCTGATCAGGGAAGTGACATTATAAAAGTTCCTCTGACTTTTCTTACAAAACTATTCCATAGAGGAGTAAAAATAGATTCCATGAAACCAAACAGAAGGTGATGAAAACAAATAAATAAATAAATAAATAAATAAATAAATAAAAGCCAGCACATCGATGCTGACTCAATGAGTAAGCGAGTCCACTGGTGATGTGGACTGCAGTGATGAGATGAAAATGGCTTGGACTGCTGGGTAGAGATGAAGAGAAATGAAAAGTACTCAGGTTTGGAAACTGAAAGGCTGTGCTAATTAATTATATGTAAAAAAATAAGAGAAGAATCAAAGATGATTGCACATTTTTTGCATAAGGAACAAGGAAAATGGTGTAGCTAATTATTGAGGAAAAAAGAGGGAGGTGAGGAAGAGATTTTCAGGCAGTTTCAAGAGTTGATTTTATCACTGAAGACAAACATGTGCATAAGCAAATGTGGTGAAGAATGCTAATGGTGCCCGGCTATCAAAAGATATAGTGTCTGGGGTCTTAAAGGCTTGAAGATAAACAAGCGGCCATCTAGCTGAGAAGCATCAAAGCCC